AAGGCGGCTGTGTCCCATCCTCTGTAGTTTTTATAAAGTGTCCTCAACGTAGAATAAAATCAATTACATACAGAATCTATCGCGGTGGTATTATCTTCAGTCTTTGGTAATATACAGAATTAATATCTTCCGTCTTCGCGGTTGCTTGCGCCATCATGTTTAACTTAACGTTACGTTAAGAATGAGACAAGTTAAGTTCGCGGCTAATTTCAAAGGGTTTACTTTGCTTCAATTACCACCTGACAACACTTTAAACATTACCATTACAGTGTTTTTTGCTTACATATTTATAGACTGTGGAAGTAAATAACTTACAACAATATTTGTTGACAATACGAAAAAAGCACGCAAAAGTCTTTTAAAAATGTCCACGGTGGTACAAGTGCTAATGCTCGCACGCGTCTGTCGGAAGCGCATATAGTTACTTGCCGACAAAACCCGCCAAAATAAAAGCCTGCTGATTTTAAGTTTGAAAATGATGAAAATAAAAAAAAAAAAAAAAAAAAAAAAAAAGAAGTAAATTAGCATTTTATTTGTAGGTTTACTAATACTCCCACAAAGGAGCCACATGTTCGTCCTTTTCATTGAACACAAAGAAATTAAGTTTACTGAACTTAATTGCAATGCTTTAAGTAACAGAAAGTAATAAAAACTCGATCAAACTGAGTAATGTCAACAGAGCAGAAACAAATAAGATGAACATAATTTTACTAAGTTAACAGTGCAAGAACAAGCTGAAACGTGGACTCATCTGACAACAGCACACATTTCCACTGTCTATTTGACTATATGAGATGAGCTCCCTTCCTGCAGAGTTCAGCTCCAACCCTGATCAAACACAACGGAACCAACTAATTAGGATCTGAAGGAGCACTTGATAATTACAGACAGCTGTTTCATCAGGGTTGGAACTGAACTCTGCAGGAAGGTAGATCTCTAGGAACAGGGTTGGGCACCCCTGTCCTAGAGTAACAGATATTCAAGTTGCATTTCTTGATGCAGCGGCAGACTGTGGTAAATGACAGCGGTTTTCTGAAGTACTTCTGAGCAAATGTGGCTATATTTAACACTGCAGCATGATGGTTTCTTATGCAATGCCATCTGAGGCCTCAAAGGTCATGCACATTTACCTGAGGTTTCCTGCTTTGCCCTACATGTACTGAGATCTCTCTGGATTCCCTGAATCTTTTACAATATTATGTATGGTAGTTGGTGAAAGACCTAAATTCTTTGCGATTTTGCTTTGAGAAATGTGATTTTTGATTTGTTTGACACTTGCCTTATGAAATTTGGAACAGAGTGGCTTTGCTGGCAAAGACTGAAATGCTCCTTTTATACACAAACATGATCCCCTCACCTATTACCAATTCACCTGTTTATTTTGGACTGTTTCAAAACAGTTGAACTTGGATATTCTATAACCTTTTCACTTTTATTTTGCCTCTGTCCTAACTTTTTTGGAGTGTGTTGCAGCCATCAACATCAAAATTTGTTTATATTTACAAAATACATTTAAGCAGATCAGTGAAAACATTGGAAATCTTTTCTTTGTACTTTTGTCAATTAAATAAAAGGAAAACGGAATTAACAAATCACAGATTCTTGATTTTGCTACATTTTACAAAATGTCTCAACTTTTTTGGAATTGGGGTTGTATGTGCTTTTGCACAATATTAAGTTGGGGGAGATCTGTTAATATTTAATGTTTTGCTATTTTTGGTTTTAAAAGGGTTTCTGTCATGTCTGCGTTTTTGGGGAAGTTACCATTGTGCTGAAGAGTAGAGCCTGCAGGTTAGGTCAAATATGGGTCTTCAATGTAAAAACTATATAATGCTTTATTTAAAAACCAGTAACTGCAGCTGTTGATGCAGCGGTAGTCGCTCTGATGGTTATGTTAGCAAGTGAGTGCTATTGCTGAACAGGTGAAGCACTTACATAATTACAGTAACACTTGGTAAAACTTTACGACAATCAGTTTGCATGATTTTAACAAATAAATTAGATCCCTGTTCAAGTAAATACAACTGAAAAATGCCAAGTTGCAATAAATGTTACATTAGTTAGCTCAACTTAAATGAGTTGTTTGGAATACACCTAGTATATTTAACTTAAAACAAATTAGTAACTTTTTGTAACTAAAAAGTGCTTTTTACTTAGATTTTTTAAGACAATCTGTTTGTATGCTTTTTTTTAAGATTAAAGTAAGGTTAACTAATTCGATTTTACAGTGCGTTTCTGGTTTCTGAGAGACAGACAGGTGCGACAACATCCAAACTCCTATCCCATCCCAGGGTCATATTTGTGACATCAATCCACTGGGATTGGTAGAATTTGATGGGCTGTACCTCTGCTAAACCAGCACTTTGTCATTCTGCCTAACTGACTGGCCCCCTTGACCCTTGGGTGTGGGAATGCAGTTTAGCGGAGAACCAGTCAGATTTCTTGCTCCACTGGAAGCCCTCTTAGGAGTAGCACTCCATTAAGAGCTGTTGATTTACCATTTTCTTGCACTACTCCACTCTTCCACACATGTAGCACACACTAAGGAACATGCCATAGCATGTTTTAAAGCAGAGCTTAAATGCACCAAATACACACTATATTTTCAAATGACTGATTTCAAAATACACAGCCAGTGTCTATCAAATGCTAAATTGTTATCATGTTGATTGTGGATTTTTTAATTTCAAGCATGTGCAGAAGACAGGTCTACATAAAAAAAAAAAAAAAAAGTAGGCCAACATGTATTAAATAATGGATTTACGACACACTTTTATGTACACTTATGTACGACACACTTAATATGTACAGTACAGTAAAAATGTCAAATGTACCATTAAATGTAAAAAAAGAAAGAAAGGAAAAAAAAAAGCAAATATATAAATGTCTTCCCAGCACATAGTGAGGTCTATGGGCAGTGGTCTACTGCCTGCACTGGTGAATGAAGTGCTGAGAAAGGACCGGAGTCCTGCCAACTGTCAGGCTATCCTCAATCAGCTTGTACAGGTAAGATTGTGCTTATTCAAATATGATATTAAATACTACTGTGCAATAATGACAATGCAATTTTATTGCAGATATGCAGTGTGAAAGAACTCCTTGATATTTTACTTCAGCAAGTGGAGGACACTGATCCAAATGCCATTGCAGACACCATCACTGTCCTTATGCCTCTTATTCAGTCAGGTAACTGAACAACTGCTGAGGAAAAGAACCTCAAAACAGCTAAAGCCATAATCCTGATGCATCCTGCAAACCAGTATAAAACAGTGTTTCAACTTAAAAATACAAGCCAAAAATAAACAGGGCTCCTTCTGCTGCCACTGCAAGTAATAACACATTTTCTTTTTGTTCCCTACCCAGTGCTGTTGAGAATGAGTGAGTCGAAGGCCCATGGACTGGCTTTGGCCCTTGATTCTCTGCAGAAACAGATTTCAAAGCTGCCTGTACCTTACTCACACAAACAGGAACAGGAAGATGTGTATGGGCTCTGCCGATGCTGCACTGCAGTACTGACCTTTGTACAACCCTTTGTGCAGGAAGTCAAGAATCAAGACACAAACTCAATGGCCACCAAACAAAGAGCTGCTCTTCTAAAGTTGTATGTTTTAAACCTGTTCTTACTAATGCAGTCAATGAGGCATTGACCCAATTGTGTTAAGTCATGTCAAATTTATTTGTATGGTGCTTTTACAATACACATTTTTTCAAACAGTTTTAAAGAAAGCAGGGCTCGACAATAAGGAGTGCCCGATGGCCCGGGGCCAGCGTGAAAGACGTTCAGGACAGTAGACGGATTTGTCACTTGCCCGATCGGGCCACTGCAGCGTCGTCACGACATTTTATCATTTGCATGTTTTTGAAGCCTTGTTAATTTAAAAATTCAAACGATTAAAAAGCATTTGGGAAAGACAACTGCTTTCAGTACTGTTCTGTTCTGTGTGAAACACAAAGAGGAGAAAATACTGTAGCAGGCAGAACAAGTTCACTGTTCACGATGCGCGAAATATAGGAAGAAAATCCAAATATTGAATTTTATATGAATGTGTTTCTGAGGGGAACTGACTGTTTTCAGAAATGGCGTTTTCTTTTCATTTTGTCTCTGTATAATGCATTTAAATTAGTGTTAATACAAGCAGCTGCTGCATTTACAGCGGTAACCAAGGAAACGCTGTATTACTGTTCCATAAGCGCCGCCTGCTGTCAGAGAGTGAATCTGCATCTCATTCAGCCCACCTGCTGTTTCTGTTTCATACAGATGTTTTATGTAGCATAATTTCACAAAGCTAAAGTCAGGTCATTCTGTTTTTGCTTCAGATTTTGAAATGATACAGTCTAATATAAATCAAACATTGCACTTTTTTTTCAATTCATGATTAAAATGCAGTGGTTGTCTCTAATTTCAAATGGCTATGAAAAATCAAGGTGCAACACAGGGTGAAGAATATGCAATGTTATTTTATGTGATTTTTCAATTTCTGTACCTGAACATCTGCAAACATAAAAACCTAAAGCATCATTTCATTTCTAAATATAGTGCTATAGGCCTATATTTAATTGTGCTACTACTTAATTTGTTTATTTGTTCTTATTTACTGGCTGTCACTTGTCTTTAATAATGTTTAAACTTTATATTTATTTTATGTTTTGCTAGTGATTTTCGCTGTGGTATCATAATTGAAATAGGGAATTGTAAAATTTAATTGGTATCTAAAATATTGGTGTCATATAATATAAGCTTATTTATTAGAATACACGATTGTAACAATGATAACAGCAACTATTTTATTTTTTGTGGCAGGGCCAGTGAAAATGTTGGCAGTGCAAGTAAAAATTACTTAGCGTTGATCCCTGGAAAGTCACACTGTTATGTCTATAATGCCATAGTGCTTTATCACAGAGCAAGTTTTAGGGCTGTGGGATATAATGATATGAACGATCGTCCAGATTTAGATCTAACTATATTGTATTTATAGTGTTAGTATTAGATTTAACAGTGCTGCAGTGACGTCTAAACATTCAAAAGCCATTAAGATATATATTGGTCGGCACTGGTCTATTAAGAAATTGAAATGTTGGTTATTTTGTTCAAAGCAAAAGCAAGCAATTCTCAAAAAGTATTAATATATAGTTCAGTCATGAAACTCTAGATGGCGCAGGCGACGGGTTGTTAACCTAACCGATGATATTCAGAGAGTTAAACGACTTGGCACAGCTGATTGGTTCATGCTGCATATGCAGCCAATGAGCTTACTGCCTTGCATTTATATGGCTGGCTAGCATTCTCTAGAGATTCCTGCAGCGTGCTTTCAGAGTTTCTCTGAAACCCTCCACCTTCCCCAGCTCCACCTGTATAGATCTGCTACGGGTTATTTTATATGCTATTTGTGCAGCAGCAGTATGTCTTAAATACTCATGGCACCGTATCGCCATATGCATTGGCAGTAGCAAGTTCCTGTACTTGCTTGCAGCAGCAGCAATAATCTACAAATACAGCAATGACCAACAGCAGCAGCAATTCCGCCAAGACCAAATACATTAACATTGTCATATCCATCACCATGCTAAAATCTTCAGAGAGTTGTCATGATTGAAATTAAAATATGATCGGTTGTCGCAAGACTGAAAAACTCTTGAAACATCGAAATGCTCTGGCCCTAATGATAATAACTATGGGATTTAGACAATGTTCAGTGTTGTTCTATGCAAGAGAAACCATCAATGAAGATATGATGGGGTGTCTTAAGTTAAAAATATATGATTGTCAGAGTCTGATGTCAGTTAACATTTTGCAAATTAGCAGTCATTTAAGTGACAATGTTGAGAAATATGTAACCCTTTGTTGATTATATGCATGTGATCTTAACCAGTATTTTACCTAATTCTTCACATTTTCCTTTCTTTCTGTAATTGCTCAGTTGCATGAAGAGTCTAAGGGAACCTCTCCTCCAAGTTCAACTGGACAGAGAGGCGAACATGACAGAAATTTCACCCTTGTGGAATTTTGCCACAGAAATAATGGTAATGATATCACTTACTTTGTTGTTACTATTGGGCTTAGGCACGGTACTTTTAGGAAAATGATGACCTGACTTCTGAGTGCTTCTGTGCTTCAAATACTAGGCAATCCTAGCAGTGATCCAACAATCTCTGCCAAAAATCCTGTTCTATCCTTTGAGAGGAAAAGAAGACACAATTTCGGAGAAAGATGCTTTTCATCTGAATGAATCAAGAGCTTGCATGGCTTACTTGCTCTTTGTCCAGCTTATTGCCATAGAAGTGTTTCCTGCAGTTTTTAGGTAAGTAGCAGTTAGACCTCAAAAATGTGTTTTTTTCCTCATCTCACCATGTGTTTACCAGACTCAAAGACAGTGTGAACTGTTAAGGCCACAGATCTCTTGGGCTTTCAAAAGGGGTTAAAATACCCTTCACTTGCAGAGTTGAGAATCTTATTTTGTGCGCAAAAACATACTGATATATTTGGCACCAAAAGAATTTAGAGACTTCCATCATTTTTTCAGTTTGTGGTACACAATGTCTATATGAAAGCAGTTTATGCGATCGCTACAGCTTTAATGTACCTGCGCTCTAACAAAAATGTTTAATTTAATATTTCAGCCCTGTTTTCGTCCTGCAGTGTAATATGGAATACATCAATCTTCTTTTAAGTAGGTGTGTAAACAACAATTTTTATTATTTAAAAATAAATAAATATAAATACCAAAATGGTGTGCCATGTATTTAGTCTGACTTTCCTTCCTGCTTTTTATCCCCATACAGAAAGGATGAATCATGGATATTGAAAGGACTGGTAGAGTAAACCTCCATCAAAACATTTATTATTACAGTCATTACAAGAACAGAAAATGATGTTCATGCTTTAATTTTCAGTAATGAGTAGTCATTTGCTAGAAAATGTCTTGCATTTTTTAGGACTTACATGTTAAATGTTTGGAAAGAGTAACAGACTGCAGTCTCCCAGTGGAGCTCTTAGAGCTGAAACCATTTCATGAGGTTCCAAAGGTATGCAGCAATGCTATGTATTGTTATGGAATAAAGAAATAATATATCACCCGCTTCTTAAAACATACATAACTTCTTGGTGGTAAAATCTAAGGATGCACAATATATTGGTTCCATAGCAGTAATCAGCCAATATTATATATGTATATATATATATATATATATATATATATATATATATATATATATATATTTAACTTATTGGTAGAATGATTCCCAGAATTGTAATAATTGGTGCATCCTTGGTAAAAAAAAAAAAAATGTTTACCATTTTAACGAGAATTGTTATTTGTTCACAGAACTTAATTACAATTATGATTGACTGTCTGATCCAGCATTTGGTAAGTATGGATGAGACACAACTTGCTTTTACAAGTAAATCTGATCTGTTAAAGCCAGTTTTTTGTTTGTGGTCATGTGCCCTCTTTCATTTAGAGAGGGAAAAGCCTTGTGGTGTTCCAGCTCTTTATAGAGAAGCTTAATGGTGAAGCCAAGCACACATTTTTCAGGTATGGTATCTAGAAAGTTTAAATATATATTTAATTAAAACTGCTATCAATATGTGAATGCAGTATTCTGGTTGACATAAATCTAAAAAGTAGAACATTTTTGTCTGAGTGTTAATTGCTTATTCTGCCTTTGTTAAATGCTCTAAGACGCATCATGAAGACTAGCCATCATGCAGGTGTAGAAAGTATCATCATCAAAAACATAAAGAATCAAGTGGAACGCTGCAGAAAGGTAGTGCACAAAACATTGCTTATCTGTCTGCTTGTCCAAGTGGCAGGATTTTGATCAACACTGAATCACTAATGTTAGAAATATTTTTCTCTTTTGCTATTAAAGTCAGCCTATGATGACAGCTGGTTTGAGGGGACTCCGCTCATCTCACTGCTCAGAGAAACTCTCATTCTCCCACAGGGCCATGAAACCGACTTGCTACATGGGATGGACAGGTGAAGAAAACCTGTATTTTTACAAAGACCTTAAAGGAAAACAATAGCCGCTAAATGCTCAGAACTGCATCTTGATGGATCTAATCAATTTTTATATCAACAAATCATTGACATGAATCGTAACCCAAGTACAGCCTCCACATATGGCAGCTGTCTCTATTTTAAATGTTAGATCTCCTACTAACAAGATACAATCCATCCCTAACCATAATTTATTTATGAGTGTAGTCCAGGTTTACTGCCATGATCCCACAATACAGAACAGATGGTGAGCAGTCCAATATTTTGAGGCAGATCCTGTGTCATTCCTAAAATGATACTAAAACCTGAGTGATTGACATACCTCGTCTGAATAATCTGCCCCTGATAAATTACTTAGGCCTTCCTTCATCCTGCTGATATGCAAATGGTAAACCTGTCAGCTTTTACCACAATATGCACCTGTTCTGCATAACTCTCTGTATTAGGCAAAATAGATATTATCTTAGGTTGTTTTTTTTTCCCATATTCATATTTTCTTCATTGTTTTAAAGGGTAATGGAGTCTCTGAATCTTCTGCGGTATTTATTGATACAGGAAAGAAAAATTTCTGTAAGATTTTTTACAGCATTTTGTCAAAACACAACTATATATATATATCATTACACTTATATTTTCATCATGTTCTATTAATAAGACCCACTCTGTTATTTTCAGACTGGAATATGGACAGACCTGTGCCACATTGCAGACAGTTACACGAAATTATTACGACTATGTCTAAGCATGTCAAAATCATACTATGGTACAGAGTTGAAAAGACTTAGAGAGGACAAAAAGATCAAGGCTAAAGGTAATACATGCTTTGTATCCTTTCTTTGTTAAATAGTAATTATTATATAGTGAAGAACATGGATTTTGACTTGAAGTAACATTGCTTTTTCCCAACAGAATTTAAGGAGGCCTCTAGGAAGAGATCAGTTCAGAGCTTGCTTGTGAAAACGGAGACGCTTGGCAACATGCCATGTGAGGCACAGGATAAGGTTAGATTATAAGTTCTACTTATCTGAATTCAGTTTTAAAATAGTGACAGTGAATCATAAAACAAGCTGTACTAAACATATCATTTGCAGGTCTTGCAGTGTGCCTTGGTCACATATGACTTAATGGAAAGCCTTGTGGTCCATATAGAGGAAATCATTGAGGACAGTCAAAAATGAAATGGGGACAATTGCTGCTTTCTGAACTGAATAATGTATTTATTAATTTATTTATTTACCTTCTCTGTAGCATGACACATTTGTAATGATAAAGAGCAATGTGAGAGCTACAATATCAATATTTTCAATACTATTCTGTATTCTGACTTTGAAGACTTTTCCAGCACAAATAAAAGGTGGCCATTTTCCCTCTAACTATGTTTATACTTTGTTCTTAATAGTTGATGAACTATTTTGAAAGAAAATGTTTTTTAAGGCTAAACAACAAAGTATGAATGGCAAGAAACAGATTTGACACAACTTACTATGAAACAATACTGACATCTGCTGTTCAGAACAAGTATAGTAAGCAATAAGAACATGAATGGAGAGGAACATGGCGTAAATCTCACTAGAACTGCATCTCTTGAAGCATTCCCCAAACTGGGCTATGATCAATGATGTGAGTACAAGCCAAAGACATCTGATCTCTCAAATTCGCCACATTGGGTTTACTTGTGGCCTGGAATAAAAAGGCCAATAAACGTTTTGTATGCACCATGCTAGTAATAAACTTCTTATATATGCAATTTTCCTATGCATGCTTGTATAGTGAGCACTGTCCTTGACGTTAAATTAAAATGAACATTAAAAGCCCATAATTAACCTCGATACAGCATTCACTATTAAATTAAAACATTTCTAGAAAATTTGAATAATTAATAAAGCGTGTGAATCATTCACACTAAATTGTAGAAAAACATCACTGCTTACCTTAGCAATGACCAGAATTCCCTTCACTACATCAGCAGTACTGTGCACAGGTATGACTCTGAGGTTACAGCCAAGAAATCTGTTGCAGAGTTAAGCCATTTTATCACATACTTGTATTTGTCCAGCTCGGTATATTAAAAGAATTTTGAAATTAAGCAGACCTCACTGCATGTGTGGTTCATTAGTTGTTTATTATTAATAAAATTTAAACTAATTATTTAAAAAATAATTAGGCCACACAGGCATCTTATTCTGAGTCCGAGTAGATCTTAGTCTGAGTGGCTCTCCAGATGCCATCCCTAGACCCTTTGGTCAAGGAAGTATGTAAGGTGCTTGCTTTCAAAATAAGGTTGTACATTTGTAGATTTTAATTCATTATGCACCTGTTTTGCACTGATGATAAAATCTCCCACTCCCTTTTTCCGTAAACTGGGGCTTGAAGCAGAAGAAAACTGTTTCTATGGACCTGCACAAATTTCTCAATTCTCTCAAAAAATTCTGCATTCTCAAGCTTAGCTGGAAACTCCTCCGGTGTGACCAGCAAAAAAGCTGTACCTGTGTAACAGAAAAGTGACAGCAAGGCAAAAAACGTTTAGTTTTTTACTTCTGCTGATTGTACTTCGGCTACAAAACGTTGTTCAAAGTGTTAATTTTGGACATTATAACAATGAATAAAACATGTAAGAATCATAAACTTTTGTTGATCACAGAGCTTATTTTCTGCAGCAATCCAAAAGGACAGGGATCTACTGAGTGAAGGATAAAATAGTCTAGAGAGCTACTTGTTTGATATATATAATTCAACAATCTATGCTAGAAAATATTCCAGTTAAATTTATAGAAATATTAATTTCCCTGAATATTTTACTGCCATATTATACATATCGATATTTATCACAATATGCATTTACCATTAATGGGGAAGGAAATGCTTTCCATATGTTTGTTAGAACTTAAGAATGACGGTAAACATAACTTTGTTTACAATTAAACTACACAGAGTAGCTATCTTTTAATTAGGCCCTCATGAAATCCTTTGTGAATTAAGAAAACTTAAACCATTTAATCGATCCTTTAAAAAAAAATGTAATCAAAAGAAAATTGATTTACAACCAAACATTGCATTTTTATTTTTTAGTATAATGCTGCTGTATAAATAAATGAAAAAAAAAACCTGGTTGTATGATATTCCTTTAAAAATTATTATTATTATTACTTTGAAAAGTTATATATTAGCATGTAATATATTTCTGTTATAATTTCTTCAAGTTAAAACAAACTTTTATTTTGACTGTTTGTCTTCATTGATAAGTAGATGCTGAAAACGCTGTAAAACCGTGTCATTCCTTCACAGTTCACACGGAGACATGCAGAACATGCAGACATATTAACCACAATTCCTAATTCAGCCCTAATGTCGACTATTTATTTAGTGTGCAACTCACAGACTCCAGGGCACCACGTTGGATATCATTGGTCTAGGCCAGTGGATCCCAACCACGTTCCTGGAGCCCCCCCAGGCCCCAGCACTGAACATTTTGCATCTCTCCTTTGATTGACACACACATTTCAGGTCTTGGAATCTCTACTAATGAGCTGATGATCTGAATCAGGTGTGTTTGATCAAGGAGACATGCAAACCATGCAGTGTTTGGGGGCAGCACTCTATGTAGGTTACATTTAAGTAAACAAATCAATATTTTCAAAGTTTACTTTAATGATTAGACAGTAACAAATAAAAAAAAGCTATATTCACAACGAAGGAGGAACTAAAAAAAAAGGCTAAATTTACCTCTCCTACAAGCAAAGTTTCTCGAATATCGAAGCTAGTGATGGGAGAAACGAACCATTTCGAAGCTTCGAATCAATCGAACCAATTGCTTCGCAAAATGATTCACTGTTGACGCCTGCTGGTCAAAACTGTGTAAATGCAACAAAATCTCAGACCAAAACATGCATAAAAACAGCTTTTACAAACCCAATGAAAACGCTTTCTTGAAAGTATAATATATTAAATGCAATCAAAATAATAAAATTTTGATTGCAAAAAGTTTAGTGCGTTTGTTTTATGGAGAGCTTGTCTAAACAGGCCAGTAAGAGACTATTACTACTCATCCTTTTAATTACACAAATGTCTCATTCAAAATATCTACAAATTGATCAAACTGATCCGAGATCGTATAAACAGACGCTGACGCAGTGGTGTGGGGGTCGATCTCAGTGAACTCGCATGACTCACGGGTTCACAGAGATCGCCCCTCTAAGGCGAACTATTGAAATTTCGAAACAGTTATGACGTAACGAAGCCTCGTTTACTGAAATAACGTGACTTTGGCATTTTGATACGTGCTCCGATTCCGAACCACTGTTTCGAAACAATTGATTCGCAAAAGTTTCGAAGCTTCATGAAGCAGTGTGTTTCAAAAGAGGCCATCACTAATCGAAGCTAGCTATACATGCTTAAAACAAAAGAGGAGGTAACTTGGCGCAGGCGAAGTGGTGCACGTTGATAATGACTGTTTAAACTCGCAGCGCGTTAATGTTCTCTTGTCCTTAGCCTATTAAATTCTATTATAATATTTCTAGATTGGAATGGAACGTTTTTCTTAGAGGAACCTTTTTACATGAGCTGCACATTCGTTAAATTATTTGATTGAAGAAAAAAAAGGAAAATCCAGTAGGACATCTTCTTGATATAGGGATTACATTTACTGAAAAAATGTAACTCCTTTCTACCTGACAAGGGGGAAACAAAGGAAGAGGACAGAATGTTGTCCGAGCGGCGAATCCTGTGCTGCTGCGCTGCAAGAATCTGCGAGGCTTCATCACACTGCGAAAACAACACGAAACATAAACAGATAAGTGCGTAAATAGCAGAGAGTAAAGGGTTTTAATCAGTCAGTAAATCAGTTAGTATTATCATAAACAGTAAAACAGTATTTTTCCTCAAACCTGAGGTGAGGTGCTGATTATAAGTGTTGTTTTCCAAGAGGTGTTGGTATCGATTGCCATTTCCAGTTTGTTGTAAGGCTAGCAGATATTCGGTTGTGGCGCTAACAGTTTTAACATTTAAACAGACACCAGTGAGCACATGGGCACAAAGTGGGACATACAAAAACATTTCTGAAATTCATGTTAATTAAATACATTTTTTACTCAAATTGTTATGCTCATAATATAATGTAGTTTAAAAATACTTTTATTAGAACAGTGGTTCTCAAACTTTTTACACCAAGTACCACCTCAGACAATATGTGGCTCTCCAAGTACCACCATAATGACCAACATTAAAATACAGTAGCGTAGTATGCCTAATTATTCAGCTACAGCTATGCACAGTTTAAAAAATTAGGCAGTTTTATTCCCAGTAAGAATATTTATTATTGTCTGCCACTTTAAACATTGTAAATAAATACAGTTTGAACATTAACACTGCTCTGCTTACATACAGGCAAATAAAAAAACTTAAATGATTAAATTAAAATGTACTGTACCTAAAAGTTAAATAAAAACTGCACTGTACTTAAAAAGTAAAAAAAAACAACTTTACTGTACTTAAATGTAAAGTAAAACATATACAGTACTTGATCAAAAAATTAACTCGGGCATCATTTAGCCACCAGGCAAACTTTTAAAAGGTGTTTTAACTGTTTCCCAACCTTTTTTTCTTCCACGGCACAGTTTTGATATGTAAAAAATCCCCCGGCCCACCACTAAGCATTACAAAAAAAAAAAAAGATAGAAAGGGGAAACGTATTTTTGATTTTTCCAATAATTAAACATTGCGTCATCAGAGCTGGTATTTTGGCTTTATATATGATCAAACACTTGCACTTACTTTCTGAAAATCATACTCAAATGTAGTTAATGAGGTTTTTGACGAGCGAGTGACAGAGATCTGTGTTTCGTCCATCATTAGAACGGCCGCCTCTGAGGCAGTAAATTAATAGCATCACGTTTTCACCAGTTTGCAGTTTATAAAGTTTATTGTAGCTATATGGGTGCTCAGTTTCTCTTGTTAATACATTTGGCCAAAATCTCACGATTTAAAATACGAACAGCTATGATATTTAAAACGTACAAAAGTGTATTGGCTACAACTAGACAGCAAATGCTAAGACTCTTCTCTGCTCTTTATACACACAAAAACATTAGCCTTTATAGACAGCGTTTCTTGAGTAAAGGAAACGCTCTACTTATTCAAACATCAGTTCTTTATTTACCCTTGCATTGCAAAGAAGTAGACATCTGTCTTCAAACTGCGGAACAGTGGGAAAGTCTTTCCTTCATAACCGGCAGCCCTTTACAGCGGCCTCCGAAGCAGACAAACAGCTGCTCTGATTGTCTGAAAAGACCAGAGCGCTCAATGTACACTCTAAGGGCCCTCACTGGGCAGAGTGGATTGGGACCTTGCTCGCCGTCTGCAGCGGGGAGCTCTAGAAGGGTAATAACCTGGGCTCTGAACGGAGCTGAGAGCAACTTGGGTACATAACCGTGTCTTGGCATGAGGACGACCTTACAGTCGTTAGGCCCAAACATCAGACAGGAAGCACTGACTGACAGTGCCTGCAAGTCACCCACTCCCTTGACCAACGCTAATGGCAAAAGGAAGGAGGTCTTATGCAACATGGGCCGCAAGTCGGCCGAATGGAGCGGCTCGAAAGGCGGGCACTTTAGGGCCCTTTAGGACTATGGATAAGTCCCAGGTCGGCGCACGGTCTGAGGGCGAGCAGGATACAATCTCCAGGCGCCCTTCAAGAACTTAACGACCAAGTCGTTTCTGCCGACTGACTGGCCAGCTTCAAGGGAATGATTTGCTGCGATAGCTGCCACATAAACTTTGAGCGTGGAAGGGGCACGCCCGTTGTCCAGTAGCTCTTGTAAAAAGCACAGCACATGGGACACGTCACAAGATACTGGGTCCAGGCTTCGTGCTGCACACCAGTCACTGAAGTGCAGGGATATAACTAAAGACCGGACAAACTAACAAAAACATAAAAACAACTGCGGAGCACGCCACGGAGGCAGCCATCAGCGTCGGCGCCATCTCACATTCGTATCGGCCAAGGGGCAGCTGCTGACAGCTGCATTAACTCGGGGAACCAAGTTTGGTTCCTCCAAAGTGGGGCCACCAGGAGGATTGAGCAACCGACTTCCCTGAACCGCCTGATGACCTGAGGAAGCAGGGCAATCGTGGGGAAGGTGTACAGGCGAGAGCTGGGCCAGTCATGGGCCAGCGCGTCTCGCTGTATGGAGAAATAGATTGGGCAGTGAGAGTTGTCTTCTGAGGCGAAGAGGTCGACCTCTGCCCTCCCGAAGTCAGACCAGATTTTCTGAACCGTCAGAGGATACAGTGTCCATTCTCCCGGAGCCACATTGCCTCTGGAGAGCCCGTCTGCCCCAAGGTTCAGACTGCACGGCACATGAACCACTCTGATAGAGAGGAGTCTGCTCTGTGCCCAAAGCAGGAGGCGTCGAGCCATCCTGTAAAAGGGAGCGTGACCTGAGACCGCCTTGGCGGAAGATATAGGCTACCATTGTCATGTTGTCCGATCGGACCAGGACATGTTGCCCCTTTAAGGCTGGCAGGAAGGTTTTCAGGGCCAGAAAAACTGCCATCATTTCGAGGAAGTTGATGTAAAGGCGCCGCTCGTGGGTCGACCAGGATGCCGGACAGCCCTCTAACAGAGTGCCCCAATCCGTATTGGAGGCGTCCGTAGTAACCACCTTCCTCCTGGAGGTCAGTCCCAACCGGAAGCCTGGTTGAATCAGGCGAGAAGTCGTCCAAGGGGCCACAGCCTCGATACAGCGATGGGTAACCCTGACATAAAACCGGCCCAGGCGTGTGCCGGGACATGGGCTTTGAGCCAATATTGGAGAGGCCGCATGTGAAGCAGGCCTAGAGGAATCACAGAGGAGGCGGCTGCCATTAGGCCGAGCATTCTCTGGAAAGTCCTGAGGGGATGCAGAGTCCCCGGCTTGAAAGATGCCGACAGTCGCTGAATAGTCAAGGACCGTTCCGGCGTAAGCCACGCCCGCATTCGGGTCGAGTCTATAACAGTCCCCAGAAAGACTGCTTGCTGTCTGGGGAACAACTGACTCTTGTGTGGGTTGATTTTCAACAAGAGGCGCTCCAGATGGCTCAGATGATCAGAAGCGATCTGTGTGCGATTAGTTCCTGTTCTGTTCTGGCTAAAACCAGCCAATCGTCGAGGTAATTGAGAATGCGGATTCCCATCTGTCTCAGAGGGGAAAGACCAGGGTCCATGCACTTCGTAAAAGTGCGAGGGGCCAGAGACAGTCCAAATGGTAGGACTGTGTACTGATAGGCCACTCCCTCAAACGCGAATCTCAAGAATGGTCTGTGGCGGGGGGTTATGTGGATGTGAAAGTACGCATCTTTCAGATCCACTGTCAGAAACCAGTCCTCTGGTCAAACCTGTGTGAGGATCTGTTTCAAAGTTAAAGGGTTAGTTCACCCAAAAATGAAAATTCTGTCATTAATTACTCACCCTCATGTTGTTCTAAACCCG